GGCAGCGGCTCCCTGATGGCCTAAGTGTCCAGAGTTTCACTGGACCACCCTCAGGGTCACATCCAGACCGTCCAGTGGGACAGACACACAGGCAGGGACTGAGCTATTTTTTTTTTTAATGTTCTATAGGTTTGGATGGTCGTTTAGGTGAAAATGTGACTGAGGCCCTGATCGTGGAGTATTATGGAGTCTTGGATTTGGAGAGTATATGTGTATTTTTAATTGATTTTTAGAGAGAGAGAGAGGGAGGGAGAGGGGGAGAGAGAGAAACATCGATGGGAGAGAAACGTCAACATGGATCGGCTGCCTCCTGAGCGCCCCCCACTGGGGATCGAGCCCACAACCCGGGCCTGTGTCCTGACCCGGAATCGAACCACGACCTCCTGGATCCTAGGTCGACGATCAACCGCTGAGCCACACCGGCCAGCCTTGGAAAATATTTTTATTATCCAGTGTTCACTTCATGTGGGGCTGTCCTCGGAGGCCACTCATATCTGGTGTCATTCCAGGCTCTTCCCGTGCCAACATATTTTTCCTGACCCGAACCCATCCAAGACCAACTTTGCTCGGTTCTGGAATTCTCTGACCCCGCTCTATCTCAACCATTGGCATCTTCTGCAGGGTTAGAGCTTCCTGACATTCACAATTAACTCACAAATTAACTGAGAGATGATCGTAAGCTCTCAGCTAAATGATCTCGCGGCCACAGGGGACGAGACCAATTTTCTACAATAAGGTTAGGACTCGGCGGCTGGGGCTGGGCGCGGGGAGGCAGGAATCTAGGTGTGAGAGGGGAGATCGTATCTGCCTTTCGTTCCGCAGGTTACTCAGCCCTCTGATATGTCTTTGGCTCCGAAACAGGGACAACCGGTTTGGAAGCTGGGGTGGAATTCAAGGCTCCAGAGCGGAATCCGGACGTCGGGGGAGGTTCCCCTCGGAAGGAGGCTCAGGGAGCATCGGGCAGACTTCCCAGTGAGCCCGGAGGTCTGGAGACGGGCAGAGGGCTGGGCAGACCCCACCGAGCCCCAAATTTTCAGTAGTGAATTCAAGGCAGGGGACATACAGAGAGCTGGGCGGGCCGGGGCTCACTTTCCCCACCGTTACCACTCTTGGGGGGCTTTGCTGTTTGGAAAGTTCTGTTCCATGGATGAAAGCGAACATCGGTGCCTGGAGAGCATCCTTCCACGGGGTTGGATTCTGCCCTCGGAAGCGGTGCCTCTGAGCCTTGTTCCTTTGGCATAGGACAGACTTTCAAACAGCCAAAGACGAATTTCCTTGCCCCCCGACCCTCAAGCTACCGCTGTCGTTTTAGTGGCTCCATCCATCCCCTGGTTCCCCACATGACGTGGACACACAGGTTGTGCTTTCCTGAGGGGCCTGGGTTTGCCAGGGTCTCTTAAGAAGTGTCCAGAAACCAGTAAAATACTCAGACGTCGGGCGGCCGGCACTGTCCACCGGACCGGGTGACTGGCTTTAAACAGGGTCAGGGAGCAGCCCCCCCGCAGCGGAGCCAGATCTGTCGTCATCTGGGTCTCGAATCAGGGGAGTCCCCACGTCGGAGCATGTGTCACATTTATCTCCACTGAACTGCATTTTATTTGGCTTTTTGGTGGCTTTTAGAGTCTCCCTCTCATATTTTTATTTAATTTTTAATTAATTAATTTTTTAAAAACAAATGGGCTAGCCCGTCATTGACTGTTTGGCCCAATCGTGGATCTAAATATCGCAGGAGCCAGGCCTTCTGGGGTCTTATGATATTGGATGTCACTAGCAATTGTGCTGAAAATTGTTACGGGTTCATTTTTTCCCACTAGCTCAGGAGCCGCGGCTAATTGCAGGGCCTCCGGAGCTGGCTCGCATCCCGGGTCGGCCAGGAGACCAGGGGTGCAGCCTGGAGCAGGCCGGTGTACCTGTGTCTCAGCCTCCGCATCTGTAAAATGGGGACAGCAGGGCAGCTACAACCTATATGGTTGTTTCGACGATTAAATGAGGTTAGACTAGGGACAGGCCCGTAGCACTCACCAGTTATTCTACAAAGAGAATTAATCAAGGTGAGATCCCCACAGACAGGGAAAGTCTCTCATTTATATTTGTATCTCTGGAGCCTAGCGCTGGGCCTGGACTATATTTGGGGCTAATATATTGGGGACGTGAATGGCTGAGTTTCCATAGTCTCCTAGACGCCAGATACAGAGGTAAGAGAATCGATGCTGCGGTTTGTAACGCTGATGCCTAATATTGTTATAAAGAAGATCTTGATCATGGGGGTTCTTTTGCTGCTAATTTTCCTGGTCACATGGTCATCAGTGTCACTCAGGTCTTTATTAATATTTTTTGCGCAAATTAAAAATTTATGTATTGATTTATTTCTGAGAGTGAGAGAGAGACATCGATTTGCTGTTCTACTTATTGATACCTCATTGGCTGATTCTTGTATGTGCCCCGACCGGGGCTCGAACCTGCAGCCTTGGCCTGTTGGGACGATGCTCTAACCGACGGAGCTACCCGGCCGGGGCCACTCGTGTGCTTATTGATGCTAATCTCGTGTGTCTCCATTGACATGCAAGACCAGAGACGTCGCCCACTTACCCCACCTCTGAGGAAGAGACAGGATTCTGCCTAGTTTGCTCGCACCCACCTGAGAGGGGACACTGTCTATTTCTGGCACAAGAAAAGAGGTTAACCAGAGAAGGCCGGTGTTCCTCAGTCAGGTCCCCACGTTGTCTAAACTCCTGTAGGTTTCTGGCCATTGGCAGATCCATTAAAAAAGACACAGTGGCCCGGCCAGCCTGGCTCGGTGGTTGAGTGTCCACCTAGGATCCAGGCGACCGGGGTTCAAGTCCCAGTCAGGGCACAGGCCCGGGTTGCGGGCTCGACCCCCAGTCGGGGGCGTGCAGGAGGCAGCCGATCAATGACTCTCATCACTGGTGTTTCTATCTCTCCCTCTCCCTTCCTCTTTCTGAAATCAATAAAAACATTATTTAAAAAAAAAAAAAGACACTGTGATGTTTTAAACACCATGGGTGGCATGACACCCGAAATGAAGCGCTGCCATCGGGGTGGGTCTTGACTTCAGGCCTGGCAGCTCAGCGCTCCCTTTGCTCAAGTCCAGCTCCCGTCTGTGTTTCCCTCTGAACTTCTTTCCCTGCTAACGCACATTCGCTGTTTTCCTCCGTCTGCTAGCGCAGGCGAGCTCAGGGAAGTGTTTTCTCTCTGTGTGTGTTCACCAGTCACCCTGAAGCCGTCACCCACTGGGAGGCACGCAGGTGGGAGGAGCCCTTCTGTGCCCGCGGGGCCACGGGTAACGCAATCCGCGGTCGTCGAGCGTCTAGAGGGCTAATCCTTTCGACGGCAGCCGTCCTAAAGGGGTGTGGCGGGTCCTTGGAAATTTGTACACAGACGGCCCTCTCCATTACGCGGCGGCCAGATCACACCCATAAGCTCCCCGGGCGGATATGCGATTCCACGCAGCTCGGGCCCAGGGCTGCCCGAGCTCAGACGCGCACAACTCCCACCCACCCGCGCCCCTGGGACCCCTCAAAGGGAGGCGACAGCGGGCTCGGCGAGACAGAGACCTGGCCGTGCGGTAGAAAGGCCCAGT